GCGCTTGAACTAAAAATACAGTGTAGTAAATATTTGTATGAATTAACTTCAAACACTTTTCACTTGATTGTGCTTGTCTCGAGGAATTGTTTGCTTCATTTGCGATGATGAGACGTTTAAAGTATATGGAGTTTCATCGAATGTGAAGCTCCATCGAATATTTTAAAAGTGATCTTCGTGAATTTTAAGATCAAACTTTTGCCTGGAATGAGGTTTCGTATTCGATTGAAAGCAATAGTTGGAAATATCTGGCCGTTGGCTGAAAAGTTTCTCTCGCCGATTCCGAGAAAACCTCTTGTCAATTATCTGCCCCGGATTGTTTGTCGGGTTCTCATTCCAGCAGCCTTCAGTCGGTCTGCTTTGCGTTCAGTCTTCTTTTCCCCTCTGGTGAAGACCAGCAGTGATGGTTCGCGGAGGGCAGGGGGCACCGATTCAGAGCGTTCCTCTGGGTCCCTGGGAAAGGCACTGCCTGCTTACACGACTGCTCCGTCACGTCTGGCTGGGAAAGGTGGGCCTGTCCGGCAGATCCGTCTCGGGAACGTAACGCGTGTTATTGCGCAACCCGCGGAGCCGGGCCGTGGGACGCCGGTAGAGCGTTGGCAAAATCAGGTCGCCACCCCGCAGTGGGTAGTTGATGCGGGTTGAGTCGTTGGGGAGACGATGGCCACCCGCCCACAGCTGCTTATGCTGCCCAAACGCGATTCCCGCTTGCATCTCCTCTCATCTTATCGTTTTGCTAGATTAGGGAATAATCGGTAGATTTGATGACGGATCCCCGAAATTTGAAAATTTCAATGCTACTGAGTCCAAATACTGGACCTGAATCTCTAAAATAATGATTCAAGTGGCAAATCTGGCTGTCTTCCATCCTATACCGTTCACCTTCACCTTTTTTTTCTACGTAAAATTTCGCAAGAAACAATTCTAGAAAAATTTTGCATCATTGTAAAATGCAAATTTCGATAGGATTTGGCTTTATGTTGTTGCACGAACGTCGTGCTGCTCGTCGAAAACGGGGGCGCGTCATGCTTGAGCTAATGCGGGATTTCATTACCTGCTCTGGATTTTTTCGTGCATAATCTCAGGCTCAGAAGGAGAATTCAGCTACTGTTCTAACTTTTCGTTTTTCTAATGCCTCACTATCCTACCCTCGCTGAGCAGTGAACCTTGAACCTGGACCGAACGATTACGACGAAGAATCCCTTCGTGATAAAGAATTTATGACTTTCCCCTGCTTGTTCTGCGAAGAAAAATACAGTACTTCAGTTTGGGAATGGCGCCTTAAAGAAATAACGAGTTTAAATGTTATTTCCAAAGGTGGAGCGAGAAAAAGCACGTATGGTCAGATCAGCAAATTACTGTATGACTACACACTTCTGGCCTCATTGAAGATGGCCCCTGAAGTGTTTTTTAAGCATGCTAAGCTTTTCTTTTCTGTTCTCTTAACGTCCCAGATTTGAGAAAAACTTTGAGCTGGAGGGTTCCGAAAATGTGTACAGCCGTCTGTAATCGAAATACAGTTTTGCAAAAATAGGCTTCGTATTCGTAGATGATGAGCATGATTGCTTCAGACCAACTCAAACTTTGGAATAGAAATCGTCAAAACGCAATCGAACAAATCTAACTATGATTTTCAGTTTAATGGCGATATCTTGAAGTTTTACGTGTTCGGAGAGGACGAGCTGTGAATTAATGCATTAATAGAACCAGCAGACTCTGATTAAAAATAAATATAAATACTGTACTGTAAACATTATGTGATCTCAGTGTTTCTATTATTTATAGGCAAAATTGTCTTCACTTTCGAAGGACAAAAATTGAGGTGCGTCTTATCATGATGTCGTATTACAGTATACATGATTGAAGTGTATGCAAAATTTCCCTTTAAAACTTGTCCCTGCTTCCGGAGACTAAATGCGTAAGTTGGCTGAAGGTAGAACTATCCTCGATATTTTCTCGATTTTAGTACTGTATATAAAGATAGTTTACTGAATTCACCACAAGCTGTTTCGTTCAGTGGGTTCTCATTCATACAGTATTTCAAGAGGAGTTTCAACTTTTTCGTTATAGGCTCTCGCGTGTATCGTAAATTTTATTGTTTACGCCGACTGCGGTGTTTCGTTGTTATGAATTACTGTATTTTGAAGCTCGATTCAGGAGTGGAGCTTTGAAGTGACCTCAAGGACTGCCGTTTTTTGTTCGCAGATGAGGAGTATACATTGTTTGTGCCCCGGAACGGTGCAATTCAAGCTTGGCACCCGATCGACTGGGGCTTCTATCCGTTCATCGTTCCAGAGTTCACCAGGGAAACGCTATTGAATCATTTCGTGAAGAAGAAATGGACCGTGGATTTGCTGAAAGAACAGAAAACCCTGGAGACGCTGGGGGGCAAAACGTTACACGTCCGGATCGACGAGGACAGTAAGTAGGCCATCGGGGATATTCGCATTTCGCGAAATTATGCAGTCCTGGAATGCGTTTTCCCCGCCGGAAAAATGAAAGTGCTGGGGGATTGTTGTGTCCAGACTCCAGAGGGAAGCCCGGGATGCGCATGTGGGTACCAGGTCACGGCCACCAGCGGGGTGGCTTGTTTTTGCAAGTTTATGCTGAAACGAACTGCAGATGATGTATCGATAATGGTTCGGACAACGCTTTGTTTTGTCGACGAGCGGTTGCCGTGCGAAGTCCGTGTTTTCTCACCGAGCCTGGTTTTGAATTGCCTAGAAGGTTCCCGGAAACACGAAATCTTGCGTTCCGATTCCGGGGACACCGCGGCGCCTGCGGATTGCGAAATACGGCCATTTACTGAATCGAAAGCCGACAATCACTTATCGTGCTTTTCTCGCCTTGTGGTTCGCTTAGGGGCAAATTTCGAAGTACACTGCAGTAATTTGATTTTTCTTCGCCGCAAATTTACCACTTCCTTTGGTGCACTAATATGAAATAATGTGTAAAAATGAGCGACCAATCTTTTCTAACAAAACCTCGTCTTAAGCCTTCAGTTGACGCCCTGAAAATCGCATATTATTGCGTTCATTTTCCCGCACAGATTCCGCAATTTTCTGGGTTTCTTTGCCTCGTGTGTGCATTTATTTGTACTGTAAATTCATGCTTCCTTAGCAGATTTTACATGCATCTGTCGTCGAAAAGGAAGAGCGGATTAGCTACAGAACGATGAACGTGACCTCTTCAAGGTTTTTCGCTTTTCTCGCAAAAGAAATACAATACATTATTGGAAAAGGGGGAAAAACTGACCGTGTTAGTCCACGCTCGAGTTCGAAATTTAGGAACGTTGCTCAAGTTCATGGAAGATTTTCGATAGTGATTCCTGGTTCTTATTTTTTATTGATTTGTATTTCGTCTAATCTTGTAATTTCAATTTGTAGTCTTCACCAAGTTAATCTTATAATTCATGTTCATTCATCATGCATGCCTTTCTAGTCCCCGCGAGAAATTATTCGTTTCCAAAATGCTGTTCAGTCTGTCGAGTATGCTTGTACAGTTCTGTATAATGGTAGTTGAAGACTCGTGGACTTTCGGTACAGCGATTTACGCAGGATAAAAGAATAAATTGTTGCAAATCGATTTATGTTAGGGAGATTCTTCTAATTCAGCACAGTATAACAATTTGAGCTCTGCCAAGACGACCGGTAAAAGAAAAAAATTGTCCACCGGTAATGAAGCATTAATTCTGTGTACAGTACTGTATATTTCAATAGAGGGTCAAGCTCATCTAGTTTGATACTAGATGCGTTTTCGTGTCGACCACTTAATCATGAAATAAACCCGTATCCACGCAGCTGGAATTCTGAGCAATAGAAGATCGAGGATCTTGTATTCACACTTCCGCACTTATTGTCATATTCAAGATTTTCGAAAAATGAGAGCAGGGCATCTATTTCAAGCGAAAATATTTCCGAACTTCCGTATGACTCACTGCGAAAGCGTGAAGTAAACCCCCGGAAATTTGAGGTACCCGAGGGAAACGCTAACCAACGGAAGCTTGAAGGGAAATCCGTTTTCATTGTTTCTCAGGCCTGTGTTATGCGAATTCGCTCTCGCCACCTGACTGCGAAACAGAATCAGTGACCTATTTTCCCTCGAAGAGGGCGGCGGTTGCTCGAAGCCGTCTTTCCCTTGTCAAGTAGCCGTGAATTTTCGCTTCCGTGCTAAAATGCCCGCGATTTTAAAGCGAGTATATTCTGCTCAATTTGTTCGATACGTTGTTGTACTTGGGACGTGGAAGAGAACAGGGATAATTGCGAACTTATATCCAGGAAACAAAACCCGGATTTTCAACCTGAAGCACATGTACCAGTATTTTAAGGAGTAATTTTTAAAAAGAGAGTAAATAGAAACGCTCATGATTACTGTGAATCCAATAGAAGCGACCGTTTTGTTTAATCCAGCGTTTATAGTTATAAAAAAAACGCTTGTCCTCTTGCTTGACTGTCCGATGGCGAAGTTACTTTTAAGACGAAGAGGGTTGTTTCCTTGCATTTGGCCATTTGGGAGTGACCTTTTGATTCTATATTGAATTTACAGAAAACGATATTGTTCCGCAAATCGACGAAAAAGTAAATGTTGATCGTTGAGTATGCAAGCCAGCAAAAACGCACTACCGATGTGTGTGAATTATACGCACTGTGTGAGTCAAATTCTGCTGTACCTTTTAAAGATGGCTTTCTGGTGTGCAAGACATTTTTTTAAGGATCAATGCGTTTGAAAATTTTGACTGTTTACTAATGTTTACTACTTTCTGGCTGCATTGAAGTCTGGACCTGAGGCAAGTTTTGAAGAATCGCCCCTTTCGAGCAATTTGTTGAGGCATAGCTGTTCAGAAAATTTTATTAAGGATGAATGAATATTCAGGATTTCGACTCCCGGATGAGTGCACCTTCATTTTGGTGTAAAACTTGATATTGTAGTTCATTAACATGTTTTTAAGCCTCAGTGAAGTTGGGAAGTTTGAAGACTTTTATGCCTTTATTTAACTCGTGATGGAACCTTTTTCAGCTGGAACAATTTATCTGAACGATATTCCGCTGTTGCTCGAGGAAACACCTGTGTCGCACGGGACGTTGTACTTCGTGGACAACTTGTTCTTCGTAACCAGCGAGTTAGTGCGGGAGCTGAACGAGGCCCACAGGGACAAGGAAACTGGTCCCTTGCTTGGGTCCCCGTGGCCCGAATCCCAGTTCCTGTCCCACGTGTTCATGAACCTGGAGGACCGCGAAGACACCACGCTCTTCGCCTCATACCTCAACTATTCCACTGTCTCCGACCTGTTCCCGACTAGAAAAGGTCTGTTGAAACTCTTAAAAGATATTAATTTTCGTTTTGAAGACTTTTGGGTTGCACTTCGTGTTTCGATTTGAGATTATTCCGAACAACGAACAGCGGGAGTGAGATATAAAGGCGATCAACTACTTCATTTTTGCGCATGACAGTAGGTTAAAAAAGTCTTTTACAATTCTATTGTCACTCGTTTCGTAGTTTATGTTGTAAAGATACTGGAAGATTTAAAGACATTTCTGGCCCTTTCACTTGATGTTTCCAAGGCAATTTACCGCCTATTGTACAGTACCCAATGAGCAAGAAGTTGTCCGCATATATCCAAAACTCCTCCAAAAGGGATCATATTCAGATCCAAAACTGCTCCAAAAGTAGTCCAACATTTTTGCCTAAGTTGTACTGCAGCGGACTGCACATTTTGGAAGGACAGAAGTTGGATCAGTTTTGGATCAAATTTGGATCCCTTTTGGAGGAGTTCGGATCTAATTTGGAACCATTTTGGAGGAGTTTGGATCCAATTCGGAACCATTTTGGAGGAGTTTGGATCCAATTTGGATTTCTTTTGGAGGAATATTGCCCCTCCAAATCTTGCGAATCTTGCATACCACCATCTAATGCTAATGTCGGTAATGTACTGCACAATCTTTTTTGTGACTGGAACTCAGATTAAGCATGCAGTAGTTCGGAAAAATTGTCTGGAAAATGATTGCATCGTCTTCATCCGAATCTGGTTAAAAGACGTTTTTATTTGATTATGCTAATTTACGCTGTATTGAAGGCCTAACTCGACGCTATAAATATCTTTTGTGGTATTTGACTGGTACACGTGTACCAATAACCGTTGAAAAGCTCTAAATTTAACTTCCTTTCATGCTCGAGCGTCGAAAATTGGTGTTATTGATGATTAGAAGATAGAGAGAGTAACTGTCCTTATAATGCTGTATTATTATTTTTTTTACTGGCAGAAAAATTTCAACTTCATGGAGGATTCTTTTTGTTCCAGATGGAAATCACTTATCATACACTGCTTTTATCCCGCGGGACTCAGCCATCACGAATTTGTTGGAGTCGGCTCGGTGGTCCGAATTCCGCGACCCGTTTGAAATCGATGCGGACCTGAACCGAAAAATGATGCTGAATCACTTTGTTCCCGGCTACAAGTACGTCGAAGACCTGTCAAAACCTGAGGACGTCGTCTTGACCACAATGGCCGGGACCGAAGTCATTTTGAAATCAGTTGACGGTTTGTTACGCTGCGTTTTTCGACTCTGGAAGACATCTGTTTTCAAGACAGTTGTTGATTCTTGAATACGTTTGGCTCACTTTTTTTTTATCTAGAACATTTGATTACATTTTGAAAAGAATCCAACGACTCTGTTCAAAAATCCAGGTTCACCAAGGTCTTCAATAGTCAATTTTCCTGCAAGTATCTTGATAAGTCATTCAATTGTAGAATTCATTTTGTAAGTAAAGGCTTTTAAACCCGATTCGACGACGAATAGATTGAAATGCTCATGGGAGAAGTCTTAAAACAAACTACAGACGGAAATGATCCCGACGAAAAAAAAACAACTTCCCGTGTATGTCTGATTCCATGAATTCCTTTTACCTATATAATGGTGTCGCCTGAATTTTTTTGGTCCCAGGTTACGTTGAATTGAGTTCTAAGATCAAATTAGGATGTAAGCGACATCTCCGAGAAATTCTAGAAAGCAAGGTCGGGCATCAGTTACGAAAACTGAGTACAGGTATTGTTCAAACATATTTTAAAATCGATTCCTATGTGCATTGGAGAGGAGTTTTTCGAAGTGAATTCGTTCCACCTTTGAAGGTGACTTCCATTTTTATAGTCATGGATTGCATCGTCCATCTATTGCACGACGGTATTCTTTCGCAGGAAATTTGACCTACAATGGGATCCCAGTGCTGGAATCGAACTTGTTCGTTTACGACCTGGGCAACATGTACATCATCGACGGCGTGAACGGGATCAATGAGGACGACGTGAACGCGTCAATGACGCGAGTCCCGCTGTCGAGCGACTCCGCCGCGCCCGTGCATCAAGTGATCGAAGACGTTCTTGCTGCACTGGAAGCGAAAGCAGACGAGTTCACCAAGCTGCGCGATTATCTCGCCTCGACTGACATGTCGGAGGAACTCGACGAATCCGCGGGTCAGTCTCGGTGATCGCCCACGTGTCGTTCGGGTCACATTCCATTGACAATAAAGACACGACTTCGAATCGCTCATTCATTCCAGACTTTCGCGACTATACGCTGACAGCTATCAGAAAGGATACTTCATAGAAATGGTTGAGCGAGGAAAAAAAATTTGCACTTTCATAAATTTCACGCATGGGAGGTTGACGCCTTTCTCTTTGCCAGGAAGATATTTACGAGTGAAGTACTGTATCAAACAGAAATTTATTTTTGTCGTGGTCAATTAACCTGACGAAAATATCTCGGAGGAGGTCAAGTTGGCGTTTTTTGTAACCTAAATGTTGACCATGCATTCTCGTCGTATGCCTCTGAAGTCTGTCTGTCACTCCATCTTTGAATCCTGTATGCTACATCGATCAAGTGACGAATACGTGTTGAATCTGTATTCTTGACCAAGAGAAATTTGGATTTCTAAAAATTCTTCGCAGCTTCTGTATTTTTTTTAATGTGAGACCTAAAAATGTCAACATAGCATGCGTTCATTTAATCCTAAAACTCTGGCTTAGGTGGTAATGTACTGGCTTAGGTAATGTACTGCAGCTGACACATCCAAATTATTATGCATCCAAATCGTGTTTGCGTTCATTTTACTTGATGGATATCATATACGATGAACAATCATAGTACAGTAGCTATTTTGAGGATGAAATCATTTTTTTTTACAATTTCTGTTGCAAATACTGTAGTTTTTCGACTTTTTCTGCAGTTTTTCCTGGGATTTACACTGTCTTCGCCCCGACGGACGCGGCTTTCAAAGAAATCGTGTCTGACGCTTTGCCAGACCCGTTCGCTGATGATCCCGTGTTCCGAAAGAAGAGTCTGCTCAACTTTATTGCCCCACAGCCTGTCAATATCTTCGATTTGGAGGAACCGGAGGAAATCAGGACGTTGGGAGATCAGTCCCTCACTGTTCATAAGCATGGTCTGTAATTTGCCTCTGATTTTTAATCATGATTGTTGACATTTCTTGAGCTACCTACCCTCTGAATTTCTTTCTGCGAGGATAAATTTGTCCGATGCATGTTATACTTCGCATTCTGTGTCATATGTAAAATTCGGTCTTAACTCGGTGAATCAAATAATTCGGGAATATCCATCCTCCTTGTCTATTCATTTCTGACACAGACGCCAATCCATTAAATTGTTTTCAAGAAAAATGCATGGGCATGTCTCGACTCAGATAGGAAATTAAATCATCAGTAACTTTCATTTTATTTTGCTGACCATTGATAGGTGTACTATCGAGAGCTAAGTTGCTTTTTCTTGAATAAGGGAATTATTTCCCTCAAATGAAGCCGCTCTTTATTGAAGTGTGCGCATCGGCGGTTTGAAAGCGTATGCTTTTTTGCCCCGGCCATTGTCAAGTGTGACATTTTTGACATACATCTTGCTCTAATGTATCTTAGGAATTTTTCCTCCCGTTCACAGCAGTTCTGTCAGCCATATTTTAAGATACAGCCTGGCTGTGGGAACACCTAAGACACGATAAATTATACTCATTCTTCTCGGAATTGAAAAAAAAGAATTCTATCTTGATAAATCTTACGAAAAATCGTTCAAGTCTCTCGGTCGCACTTCTAAATCATTGAACTTTTTGGTTGTTTAGGAAACGTCATCTTGCTGACTTACGATCAGCAGAATACCATAACGATTGACCCGCTGAAGAAGCTGGTGATGCCGGAGGGGCTTGGTATCGTTTATCCAGTTGACAAAGTGCCTTTCATTACTGCAACGGATGTTAACAACGCTATTGAAAATTTGGCTGTCATGGAATCGTCGGCGTTGAAGGAGACCATGGCTGACGAGCCCGAACGAGCTGGAAAGCACCCCTTCGTTCAAGGTGCCAACGTAGCCCTCAAGGGACAAACCGATTTGTCGAAGATGAAGAAGTATTGGACCACCTACAGTGCATCACATCCTCTTGAAGAAGGTACAATTTAAAGTGCCTAATCCTAAGTGCGATTACTTTTAAAATTGGTTCATAAAAGTTCGTCTTTTCTTAATCGGCGTTGAAAAAAAATTTTATTCCACTCTTGTGATATTTTAATATTCTTTCAGGGGAAGAATACACGTTGATTGCGCTGAAAGATCCGTCGTTCAAAGCTCTTGAGAAGGAAGGAGTTGACCCCGTTGAAGTTGACGAATTCTTCAGAGATAGAATGTTCAAGAGATTGATAATTAAGGGCAATTTAAACCCAGAGAAAGCTGAAAATGGAGCATCATTTCCCACTCTGAGTCAGGGATTTGACGTTGTGTTCAAGAAATTCGGTGAGTGCTGACTTTATGCAATTTCTCGTCCACGCACAAAAATGTGGAGGCTTTCAACGTTCTGATAGTTAAGGTTTAGAAATCGCTTTTACAGACGAATGGGGTACATATACATTGGACACGTATTTATTGTAAGTGTCCAATGGAAAATGCTGGAGCTTTTCCATTTGTTTTAAATAAGCTCCAGCATTGTAGAATACACGTGGTACCTCACATTCGACCTTCCCGCAATGTGTCCGTCCCGCAATTCGACAGTCGAATTTGCTGATGGGAGGTCGACTCGCAATGCGACCTGCACGCGCTGGGGAAATGGCATGGGAGGTGTCTCGCAGTTCGGCCGTTTCACAATTCGACCCTAGTCCAGCAACGGATAAGGGTTTATCCGTTCGGGAACTGGTTTATCTGTTTCTGGACTTGCTCCTCAAGACATTTACATTCACATTAGGCTCATGCTGACATGTCAGATCATTTTGTGCTTATTCAAATTTTTTCTTTCATTCCGGCAGATACAGGAGTGATGGAGGTGAACGGAGCTCGGGTAGACATTGAGAGCAGTGGAGAATTTGGAAATGGGGCCGGGCGATTGTTGGTGGTGCAAGATTTTCCGTTCAGAGTTTCGGACAAAGAAGTGAATTCTGCTTTAAGTCGTCGCTGCAGCCCAAAAAACGAATTTTCCTCGAACTTCTTCCGTGAGGTCGTCGCTGCGCTCAAACCGCTCCCGCAGTTCTCCTCCGTCGTTTCTTACATCCAGTGCAGCACGATCCCTGGGGATACTGTTGGTACGTTTTCAGCCTTAGAATGAGTATTGTATTTACGCAATTTTGGACTTGAAGTTGAAAATTGAAAATGTTGAAAAATGTTGCGATTTGATTCACAATTACAATGTCCACATTTAACGATACCGTGTAGTGCATATGCTGTCTATAATCGTGTACATGTATTAATATAATTTCAAGTGAAAGGTTTTATTTATTTTAGATCTCAGATTCTTATCATTTTAATGAAGAAAAGGGAAGTCGTCGATTCATGTCCCCACAGCTTGGTCCAGTTGTTGGGTTTCACTTTTGCGGCAGCGACATCTAGTGTTCTAGTCCATGAGGGTAGTGAAATTCGAATTTTCGTCCATTGCTGTCGCTGTATTACTGTTCGAGCATTTCCACTACTCCAGTTGAAATATGCCTTGCGTACGGATAATGGTGCGTGACAGGTGACCTTAGTGCAGTTTTATCGTCTCGTCACATCTCGTAGATTCTCGCCTGCCCTTGACCTTCTTCGCCCCGAGTAACACAGCGATTCACTTCGCAATCCCTGCCGACGCCATCGACCCGTTCGTTTCCAATGGTGCTTTCCGTGACGTTGCTATCCTCAAGCACATCACCGAAGCCCTGACCTTCGAAGACTTGGAAGAACCTTTAAACGTAACTTCGCTGGGCGGACACGTCATAAAGTTTACTCGTCATTCGCGTGAGTCAACCGTACCTTGCCAGGGTTGAGTTCTCAGTGCAACAAATGAAGCCAACCCATGGTTTTTGTGTCGGACTCGAGTCTTGAACGCCTCTATTTGCATTGCAGCGAATCTGTTGAGAGCCAACAATGTGCTGGTGGACCAGGACGGCGAAATTGAATTGGAATTCGGAAGAATCGTGCCTGTGCGGGGGCTATTAATTCCTCTTACGGACGTTGACGACGCTATCGGACAAGATTCTACCACCAACCCTTTTTCTCAATCTCAGTCTAAAGTGGAACCGAGTGCCGAATCGCTCATCCTGAATGATCAGCCTGTTGCCGGGTCCTCACAGGAGATTGTACAGCTACCGAGTGAGAGTCCAGAGAAAGCGAATGAAGTTGATCTCGAAAGCGTAACCGGTCAAACTGAAGGTGCGTGGTTCGATTGAAGATTCAGTGATCGTATATACATTTCTAGTTGTCTCACCACAAGCTGCCGCTGGCTCTTTCAACGCTAAAATGAGCATCTTCACGAAACATTCTATCGTTCAGCTCTTTGTTGATGGTCGAGATACTTCCTCATCAGCGAGCATGTTTAATCGAGTACCTACAGATATTTTGATGCCGTAAAATACGCGCGCTCAAATTTTGAAATAAAATTGCGAAAAGGATCCCTTCAAAAGTCCATCCAGATTTCATTGAAAACGTACAATCGATTTTTTTAAAGTTGTGTCAAATTTACGATGGAAGAAGATGCGCGTTTCAAGCTGGAATAGTCATCCGTTCAATTTAATTTGTGTGATCAACTTCGTGACTTTGATTGGTTCTTAAAGTCTCCGAGTATAATCGTAAAATTAGGGTTCGAGTTTCTAATTTCCTATGATATCCTCTTGTTCATGTGTCCCTATACTGACCACCTGAACAATACCTGCATTCGGTTTTTGTGAATCAAGCTCGAGTGCCTTATCAATTAACTGATGACGCGTGGAACGTTCAAGCAAAGAGTTCAGTTTGTTGTAGTGGTTGCAAGCCAGCGTCTGGGGAATCGTTCTTTAATTGTAAACCTGGTTTACTTCGACGAAAAAGTTGTCTATGTAACGTAATGATGAAATTATCGGCAGTCGTGGAAAACCTTCATTAATCTTAATTTTAATCCTAGGAAATGAATTAGCTCACACGGAAACCACGCTGAACCCGACGACGATTGAAACAACGGTTGAGGTACGATCCCTTGCTGGAGGAGAGACTGGGAAGACCGACCAACCGACGACTGCCGCGAGCTTGGTCGAAGAGTCCCGTGAAGAAGTGACGACTGTCACGGCGACGACCACCACGGAAACACGTGTGGTAGAAGCTGAGACGCATTCTTTTGAGGACGCGAAAGATTCCTCAACGACGGAATCAATTGTCGAGGAAATGGCGGCTGAGCGAAGCCTGGAAGATTTCCCAGTTTTCTTGAATTTAGTTTTGAGGTCCTTGGAAGACTCGCCCAAGAACAACGGCCCTGCTTTCACCCGGCTTGTTCGCTACATGCGATTGACGGATTTCTCTACGGCTTTGCCCGCAGCTCAAGGTCCGTCATATTCTTTGCCGAAGTTCAGGATTTTTATTTTATTTTTGAGAATATTCGTGCTATCCAGTATTATGATCCACCCGAGGTCCATTGCGGCAGCACGGGCTTAATGCCCATCCGTATTAAATATTGGCGATGTTATAAAAATCATACCATCCGTTTAGTGCGAGATCGAGCTGGAAACATATAATCCCCTCCTGTTTGAATAGCAGAATCTTAGCTCAGTTTGCAGATATTGTAATATCGTGAAGAATTTCCCAGTACTGTACTGTATATCCTTCCTCTGTTGATGTCTACGATGCAAAAATGTGTAATTCGTTACATAGTTCATGAAAATGAAAGTGCTGTACAGTTCATCACTTCTCATATACTGTATACTGATAATTTTCGAAGTTCATGTTTCTGAAACCTTTTTGCTCTTCACCTAAGTTTTTTTTCCGGTGCTGAAATAATGTGCATCAGTGTAGTACTGTACTGTATTTCGTGATCAGGCCTTGATAATTTCTCAGGTGGTCCATATACCTTCTTGGCACCGACTGATTCCGCATTCCGTCGTGGGCTTCCTGCTGATGCGATCGATGTATTTCTGGTTGACACTGAATTCCGGAAGAATTCTTTGCTCCGAATGATGATTCCCGGAAAAATTGAGTCAGCTGGTTCAATTTCTGCGCTGAATGGGGATCAACTTTCTGTCACGGAAAGTGATGGTACGGTTTATCGAAGCAATATCATCGGTGTTGAATCTGCTGATGTGTATAACTTTTGCTCTTTCTGTTTTCATACGTCTTTTCATGAACATCGGAAATCCGCAGGAAAATTAGCGGTTAATGACGTCATGCTGGAGACGAATCCGATCGTGCTACCTGAAAATCTGGGTTACATATACCCGATTGGAATGCACTTGACCTCGCATGCGGAAGTTGCAGAAGCTATCCGTAAAGCAGGACCTCATTCACCGTTTTCGCATCCGCTCATGAAACCCGTCGGTCCGCCACAAGTTTCCTCACCTGTGCCTTCAAAACGACCCGTCAAGGCCGAGCCAGAGGTGGCCCGTTTTGACTGTGAAGATTGCAAAAACTTCGTTGAGATTCTCGTGTCCGTATTGGAGAACGTTAACATTTCTGGCACTACCTTCGAAGAATTCTCCAAATACGTTCTGGCATCCGACTTGACACGAGAGTTCCCGGAAACCGACGGTACGCGTTTCTTTGATGCATCATTTACACATGATCGCGTGCTTCGTCTTGATTTCCCTTCGCTTTGGAGCCTTAAAGAATTTTCATTCAACGGCTCCATCCCGAATCAGGACGAATCATATATGAAGTACAATCTGTAATGGACGTACAGTACCTTCATTTTTAACGCCCTCGAATTTTTGTGAGAAACAATTTTGCGGGCTTATCTCCAATAGGAGAAAAATTAATTTGGTTCGGGTGTTTTCAAAAATTCATAAACAGGGGAATCGAAGAAGAGGTTTTCTGACACCATCCTAGGTTTTTACTGTCGGACGTAGCATTTTTTTTTCTGCATTATGTTCAAATCATGTTCTCAACTCTATCTAAAGCGGTGCAGGTAGAATATTCGATGTTCACTGAGGTGATCATTAATGATTCCTTTGAATAGGTCTTCCTTTGTATAAGGCTCACTGTCGATGCTTGAACGCCCTGCGGTTCTAACATATGCACTCTGATGTTTTGAAGCAATATTTCGGGAAAAAGTGCGTCTCATATCTACGTAAAAATGCGGCATGTGCAGTATTCTTCATCAAGACAAGAGATGATTTCCACTAAGCTCTGAAATTTGATCAACCACTGTGGCTCTTATTATTGTGTTTGCAGGTAACGGATTGATGCAACCTTATACTGCTTTTGTGCCGTCGGACAGTGCTGTGTTCAGGAGTCTGTTCCAAGATGTTGCCAATCCGTATGTTTCCGAAGGAACAGAGAGTTTCAGACGCAAGTCAATGCTTCATCACTTCGTCAAAGGAAAAGTAGAAATCGCTTTTCTACCCCCGGGCTCAGTTTTTAGCTCGCTGAACGGCTTTCCAATCAATATTCAGAAGTCGAACGATCCAGGTAAATCACCTTGCTTTGTCATTTACCACGGAGTAGTATATATATAAGCTATACAGCGCTTATAATATTGCACGGATTGTTGGAATCAGCGTAAAATTTTTTATCGACTCTCTAAGTAGGAGCAGTTGAATCTGTGCTGCCATCATGGCCTCATGGGCTTGGTATAAAGTAAACGATCTTCAATAATGTCATGGCACAGAAGATGAATAAAATTACCCTCATGTATCCATGCCGAAAAATATGAAACTATGCTGCAAATCTACAGGTGTGTTCACTGTGAACCAGTTCATTCAAGCGGATTTGCCCGCAATCACGCTTCCGAAAGGCGCTGGTTTGATCTACATCGTGGATCGGATTTTGACCCCAAGTGAAGATATGGTAGAAGCACTTTCGAAACTGCCTGCCGTTAATCCGTTCGGGATTCCTGTATCAGAAGATTTGAAGCAGAGCGTCGGAGAGACCAACGTGGCTGCTCCACCTGCACCTCCCAGTCGTTCCGAGGAAATTTCTTTCAAAATCCTCAGTGATATACAGGCTGCGTTGAGAAAGACTGGAATGCACAAGCTCCTCATCAAGTATCTTGACGAAAGCATGACTTCTCTAATGCTGGAAGATTTCAGTGAGTTCCCGTATGCGCTATCGGCATGCTTTTCAGAAATTCATGTTCAGAACCTATCTTAAGCATGAAATGTGACAGGGAGAGTTTCATGCATCCGTCAGCATTTATTTCCTCGCTGCAATCCTTTTTTCTCCAGCTAGATGTTTCCATGTGGAAAATTTTCTTGAATGTTAATGAAATTGAACGCTGCATGTGCTTCTGAACGGTCGCGCTTCTTTCAGCAAACAAACCATTAAAAGCTAGTTCTTTTCGAAAGGATCTCCTCGATTTCGTACTGTATCGGTTGATGTTCTGGCGACTGTTTCTCTGGACTTTTCTTCAGAACATGACCAAAATATCGCATAATTTACGGACTAACTTTATTATGGGATTGATTTTTTTCTCAGCTCTGTTTAAAGCTTTCTAAATCGACGACCTTATTCGAGCTATAAATGCATTTCCGTTTATATTTTTCGTGAAATTTTTACCAATGTTGATAAAAACCGTGTTAAACTAAAAAAGTGCATTCGGCCAGCTTTCTATTAATGCGATGGAAAAAAATTCTTGAACAGCTCCGGGAGTGACATTCATTGCGCCCGTTGATGCTGCCTTCGAGACGTTACAGCCTGGCTTATTGGATCCGTTCATCACGAATCCGGGCTTCCGAGTGGAAACCCTAAGAACTCTGTTTATCGGTCCCCCACCTGTTGATCTGAGAAACCTGAAGGGAACCTCGATTTCCGTGCTGGACAAGTCATACCAAGTTGACAGCTCTCAGGGTGCGTTCATTTCTATTCAGTCAGTTACTTGAAGCTGACTTTGATTTTGTTCGAAGGTTCCTTTTTTTCTGGAGCTCCTTTTTGGCATTTAATCTCTATATATGGTGGATTTTCTTGGGGAAATACTGTTTTTTTCTTAGCTGAATAAGGTGTCTATTCCATGCTTAGAACTTGTAAGTTCTACTTATACCTTTTTCATCGTCATTGATGACTCAAGATCAACTGATAATATGCCTTAATCATAATTTTTTCGTGTCATTTTTCCGTTTTATTTTTATGTTTATTTTTGACAAGCTGTAAAACCCTCTGGTACTCGTGAGGAAAGTAATGATAACAATGGTTCATTCTTTTCGTTTTGCCGCAGTTTGATCCCATATATTCTTCGCCTCCGGTGTAATATAAACCCGTGCTGCTTCATTAAGTCTTTGTGTACAGGTAGAGAGGAATATAATGATTATAAATACATATTGACGCAGGAAATCTGACGCTGAACGGAATCGCTGTGATGCCGACCCCGGAAGTGCTTCCGGGCGATGAAGGCTTTGTGTTTTTTGTGGCCTCAGTGCCGTTCATCACATCTGCGGACACGGCGGAAGCGCTGCGGCGTCCACGACCGCCACCGCGGACTCGCCAACAATCAGACGCCCTGCCTCCTGGCGTTGAAGCGCCCGCACCTTCGCCGCAACCCGCTCGCTCCGAAAGTGGCGCTCGATCATCCAACGTTGGTTCCAGTATCCGTGAAGCCGCAGCGCCCACCTCGGATGGGAACGCACGAGTCATCAATAGACTATCCCCGAAGAAACTTCGTCGTCTCGACACCGACGGATTAACTTTCCGATTCAGCGACAACGGCAGGTTCTTGGACAAGATACAGGTAATTTGAAGTGCAATCCTGTGCTGTTTTGTAGTCATATTTAACGTCATGCTCTGGGATGTCGCGGAACCTATATATACAACCACCTGGTGTTTCCTGGAGCACCTCTTAATTAGTTCACGAATGATGTTTCTCTTTCTGCGAATGATGAACCGGTCAAATTGCTTCGGTGAAAATATGTGCGGTCTTACCCAAATTATGCGAAATCAGAAACTTCAGTGGAACTCTCATTATTCGGATGCCTGTGTCTGAAAAATCGAATAGGGAAGTTTATTGGGAGTCTTTTTCTATTACCGCATTGAAGTTATCAGATGATTAAAAGATTCAACTCCAAAAATGGGAAATGAAACATCTCATCGAAACTTTCACACGGGCCGCTTCGTTATTCACTTCCGATGGTTTGCAATTTGGGCATGGTTTATATAATTATATAGCTAAAACTGTTACTGATGTTGATTATTCTATACGAAAGCGCCAGCTTACCCATCAGGACCGACTGATGAAATCATGTTTAAAATGAACAAGTGTTTATATAAAAAGCAAATACAAAAGAATCAAATTTGTCAGTCATTATACAGAATAGCAAACGAGCAAGTTGATTAAAAAGTGAGAATATGGATAACCCGTTTACTTATTTTATTGCTTGTTTCTTCCCTGAGTCAATAAAACAATAGCCAAAAGACCTGAGGAAATTCGAGTTGAGGAGGTTTGCGAGCAAAAAACCTTTGATTTAGGAGGGTTTTCAATGCATTGTTCCTGAGGGAATTCAGGCGGGAACTTTTTGAAATTTTGACTCGGAGAGGTTCGAGTTATCGAGGTTCAATCGTATATGCACGATAATAAGTCTTCCGCGGAAAAGGTGATTTTCTACAGATTCGGTCGTAGTCATATACCCCGAGATTTTTTCCGAATTTGCGTGGTCATCAGCTTTTGATCCACAGCCTGATGCCGTGTTTCTGGTGCAGGTGATCTCCCGCGGACAGCGAATCCGCCAGCAAGGTGGCGCGAACTGAAATCGACCAAAGCGAGTCACAAACGCTTCTGGAAAGCGGCTGCCGTGAAACCCCGTCATTCCTCCATGTTTCCCCAAGCAGCTTTCAAGACCAGCTGAAACCCTCGTCGGACCACGATGTGATTTACTCCCCTCTGCTCTTCGACTCTTAAATGAAGGGTGCTCTGAGTCACCGGCTTGCAGTGTTCCGCTTAATCCGCCGACAATTGCGCACGAAATATTCTGTACTTTCTGTAATATACGACTAAATTGTTCAGCAACGAAAACTCAACCCCTTGTTCTGAGTTTTGTACCTTTAAAATAGCCTACTTTATTTTTCTCGAATCCGCAGTTGGCTTCTTATCTGGCAACTCGTATATACTTGATCATGAGGGCATTTTCCTTATGTTGCACTGTTTTATTTCTACCTTTGAATCAGAGAACTTGGCTTGCTTTGTATAATTCCTGTTCGTATTGTTTTTCTTTTCCATTGGTCACGGTCTTTGATGAATGAATTCCGTCTGCGTTCTCCGGTTGCCGCGTTTGCCAAAATAATGTGTCTTCTGCTTCTACGAGATGGTTTCTTCAATTTTCATATTGCGCGTCGCCCCTTTCACTTCTCGCGCTCAATTGAAATATGCCTGTCTTCAGTAGTCGTTGAGCTCATTACGAGCTGTGCTGTTGAGTGCGGTACAGTACTTCATTTGATGCGAAATTTCCCGAATTCGTGCGATGGAAGTCAGGCATGGAAATTTGATTCTTTAAATAAATTGTCTCATGCGTTGAAAATGACGTTTGTGGTCCACCGTCAGACGAAAACGCTATCGTTCGATGAAAAGCGAAGCTCCTCTGTTGTTTTCGATGACGCGAATCCGACGCTAAGTCGTATTTATTTTGAGTCACCGAACTAAAGCTGGCTATAGTTTCCAAGCCCGGGCGTGCGTGGCGCGCGAGCCAGCCAATGTCGAACAATCGTCGTGCTCTTCGCTGAACAGCTACGCAAAATTTTCCAGTGTTGTGACATAGCGACATGCCGTGTATTATTGAGGTCCGCATCTGTATATCTTTTTTTTTCGGCTGCAAAGAGACGATCCCGTTGAAGTTGGTTAGTTTATTGAAGAGACCGTTCGTTTATCACGCTGGAAAAGGATTCCAAGAAGCTCAAGCGCAAGTCAATTTGATGTTTAGGTTTTCGTTTTTTTTTTATGCGCGAAGATTGTCGCGTTTAGTGACGCTTATTACCTTCGTCTTCCAGTGGGCAATGCTTGATGAGAATCTGACGAGAAACGTAATAGAAGCCTTAAAAATTCGATACATATGCTCAAAAGAAAGTTTCGCGGTTGCGGGTGTAACCTGCCTTCAAAAACTATCCAACCGACATTTTGATACAAGGATTTCAGGAAAGTTTTATTGTCACTGATGCGATGATCGAAATATCGGATTGTTCGTTTTTGCGCTACGCAAAATCTTACCAAGTAATAATTTTTGATGCCAAATGTTCAACTATTGGAAAATTTTACTAAAATCTCTTGAAAAAAGTTTTCGGAAGTTTTTGATGCTTGTGTTGGATGTTTTTCAAAGTTCTGCGCGTTGTGGGAGTTCTGCGAATAAAAGATGAACAGAGTTCATTCTATTCATTGGTTATCATTTCACGAACGACGGCCTCGAAAAAGCTATAATTCTGTTACCCTATACTGTACTTATAGCACTCCTTTCCCATGTTTGTGCTGATGTAAGCTGTACCAGGCAGGATGAAATTACGCATCGAAAAATCTGCATAGTGCAGCCTCGATTATCCCGAATTCACACGTGTCACAAGCTTTCGGACCTTATTCAGACTTTTTTCAAAGGGTGACAGGGAGCTAAATTTTTAAGGCCAGCTGAAAAATGAAATTTCTTTGTTGTTGCATTACCATTAACCAAAATGTTGAATAGATAATGGTTGGAAAGGAATTCAATTTTTAGCTGGCCTGAAAATTTTTCGAGCTCTCCTGTGACATAGGTAGATAACTCTGGCCGTAACTAAGAAGTTTTCACTCCTCCATGCAATAAATTGAACAATTTTTCTCAAATCTGGAAAAAACCCCAGAACCTTACTATATCATGGGTTATCATATAGTTTTTTTTTACAGTCATCCCTACTTTAAATATAAAGATAGGTCGCGCCCAAGTGGGACAACATTTGAAAATCAAGGATACGTAAAGCTAATAGAATCTGCTGCCCAAACAGAATACTGTACTGTACAGTACTGTATATGCAGCATGTTACTGGAATCGTTGGAGGTGCTGGCGTCGGGGTACCATCAAGTCATTTTCGTCAGGATATCCCGAGCAGTGCGTGTTCACAAGTGTTGAAGGCATCCACTTGCGTGAGGCATGAAAACAAATCACTTCTCCCCCAAGTGATTTTTCTGCGGATGAAATCGGTTCCGCGGTCCGCTGAGCATTCGTAACGTGAGTCCAAATGGCAGCACGTCCGTACCTGCTGTGAGCTACTTATTCGAGTCCTAGAAGATCATTTTTTGATCGAAGGTTAATTCTACGTCAGATTTTACACGAATTTCTCGAATAGTTTAGGGATTTGTGCAGAATTACAGACACCGTGTAGCTGTGAATTTTCTGAAGATTCTAACGATCTTTTTGACGTTCAGAGAACACTTGAATCTTGACAAAATCTATACTTGCTGTGTAAGACAACTTCTTGACTTCCGACCGAGCACGAAAATCTTCTACAGATCGCGTAGGTAGAGAAAAGATCTGTAAATCTTCTATAGATTTTATGGCTTACGTCATCTTTGATTGGCGTTCACCTATTTTCGGAATGAAACCTGCTTGATCCATCCACTAAAAGACGGAACAATCCATGCAATATCCGATAGCGTTATGAGTAACCTGATGACGACGTTTACAACAGACGATGCATGTTGATCTATCCTTCATATTCCTCATGGAATATACAGCGATATAACCCCATAGAAGATATTCTTAGATGACTTTATTTATTGCTGGCCAGTTTCCCCTTCGCTCTTGACGCATTTATAGTATGACTCCTATCTAAAATCAAAATTTTAGAATTTTGATTCCTGTCTCAATGCTCTACTGGAATCATGATCAAATTCAACCCTTTTAGCTACAATTCTGAGTGCTAAATAATTTTTCTTATTCTACGGTTAAGAATCTTTTTTCTAAAAAAAATTTGAATAGAAACTCATATTTTGCAGACTTGAAGCAAAATCAGGGGGAGATGATGATGTACCAATGTATGCGCGCCGAAGGGATGTGAAGCGGTTCTTTCAAACGTTTTTTTTACTTCCAATCCCTAAAGTGTACGAGTCGTTCCAGTGATCTTGGCTTTAAAAATGCCTGAATCGAATCATACGAGATCCCATCTAGCCTAATCTGTTTCTTTGCAGAGGCTTATTCAATTAAGAAACGGATAGCTATGCTTATGTTCTATTGCGCATCATTAATCCTTTAACTATGTACAGTACTGCAATTGAGAAGAATACAGATGGTCTCTATCTCCCCCTCTCTCTCTCTCCCTCTCTCTCTCTCACGATCTGGTCTACAACGATTTTCTCTGCGAAACTTTTTTTTTGGTCCCATATACTGTATAGGCCGCATAGGGATAGGGTTCTGTCCCCATTTTAATGCATGCAAGTCGCTACAACGGATTTTTTATGGTCCCTTGAAATTCGTCGCATAGAGAGAGTCCGCCTGTAATACTTCTGTATACATTTTCTACGGCATAATTTCAGCGCCACGTTGCGCACTGCGTGCTTCTGTACGATTGATTATTTCCCTATACTGTACAGTACATATCCTGTACATAGTTACTGCTGTCATGCTGTGTGCGCATGTATGGGCGGGTGGTGTTTCGAGTATGGACACGTATGCTTTATTCATAATTTAAATAGCAATTTTCTTCTCTCGAGAAAGCATGGACCAACCCTCGTCGTATTCTGCGTCCTTTTAAGGAAAACATCTATAATATCATCATGCTGGTACACATGACTTCAAAATGATTTATCTGCGCTTTCTGAACAATTTTTTTCCCCGAGGAACCATAAGTGATTATCATTCTAGAGCAGATTTCCGGTGTGTGGCTGCGAAATTCAGTGCATCACCGCACTTTTGTGATTGCTTCACATGAATGGGATGTTTATACGAGCACAGGCGAGTTAATTTGCTTATCCCTGCTGCGGGATTGATTCATAAGCTGGATTCTCTCGGTCGGAAGCCGGCGTTATCGTTGACCCGTGTCCGGTTCCGTTACGTACCTCACAGCTGCCGTGGGAAGAAAATAAGGAAACATGTGCCTGACGAGCAACAGGTATGGTACGATGCGGGGATCTGGTTATGCATCGGCGCTTTGTCCTTGTTTCCCCCTTCTCTTCTCGATCGATGCACGGGTACTTCATTTTGAAACAAGAGCGGGTTGATAGCGACCAAAAATAAGATCAAGTACTGTGCGTCGTACATGGGAAAATCACCCGGACTTCTGTGGAAGGATTTCCATTTTCTTGTACTGTACACATCTTTGCGTGGATCCGATTTTATATAAATGGGATTCGTGCTACTTTGAATTTAAGAAATCTCTATTAAAATTATGTTCATTAGTAACGTATACTGTATTGTGGAAAAAATTGGCTTTGAGCAAAATCACTTAATCTACTTTGCTTGTACAAGTCCGAATGATTGCGACACGCTAAGGCGGAAAGAAAAATCCGATAGCTTTCTTCCAGAATGCTTTCCTCGCGTAAAAATCAATATTGAAGAAAAAAAAAGAAAAGCACGACGAACAATTTTCGAACCACGAAATGTCAAGCTTTTCGAGGAGAGCTCAACCATCTTGAAATCCGCCATAGAATCTTCGCTTGTCATGATTTCTCATTTAAATTTCCTGAGCTCGTTCAGCACTTGTAAGCAAAGCGAGTTCTTCGGAACAGCCACCATGCAGCACTCGATGATTCACGAGCTTCATGCCTCGACAGTACTTTCGTGGAGTGGAAAGTGATTTCA